ATGGCTTTGATAACTTGTAACATTAGTAATAGGGGTTGTTTTTAAGTAATTTGGCATTAATTGGTAGTACTTTATGCTTAAAAATGTTGTTTTTAAGAGTTTTTAAGAATTCAAGAGTTTTAAGAGTTTTGGCTAAATGCATTATAAGATAGTATAGATATAGATTATTTTTTTTAATTTAATTTAAGTTTAATAATGAAATAATTATTTTTGGTAAACATTTTATAAAGATAATAATTAAGTATTTTGTTAGAACTCAATGATTATCTTAATTATATTTTTGATTTTTTATATTTAAAATTAGATGTTTATCCTGTATTTGATTGTATTTATCTGCAGTTAGTTACACAAATTCAGTTATGGGATGAAATCAGATAGGGATGAAATTGTTTAGGGATGAACGGGTTTAAGAGTTTTAAGAGTTTAAGAGTTTTTAAGAGTTTTAGCCAAATGCTTTATAATATAGTATAGATATATATATATAAATTATTAAGAGATTAGGATTTTGGCAATTTTAACCCCTCAATAATTACCGACCGTCATTTAAATACGGTACAATTTGGGTAAGGTAACGAGAAATGATTTTAAAATTCGGGTCTTACACATCACTAAATAATACTTGATGCGTCAAAAATGATTTTTAAGAGTTTGTCTCACATGCTTTATAATATAATTAGAAGCATGCTTCTACAATGCAACGAGATATATCTCAATTTTAATGTTTCGTTTTAGTATTCATCTCTGTCAATTTAATAATACGGTTTATATGATTTTAAGAAAAATATAATGTTTTTATATTTGAATAAAATATAAATTTGAAAACCACATTGACCACCACCACCTTCTCCATGACCGAAACCACCTCCACCACCACTACTATTACCATCAATTATATCAATTTTTTCATTCAAATTTGGTACGATTATATATGTATGTATTCACTTATATGAAAATTGTGTAAAAATATTTATAAATTAAATTATTAAATTATTTACTTTATTTGTGTTAATTATAACTATTATATCATATTTCAAATCATCAAATAACTTGGGGTTAACTTGTTTAGTTATGTCCGGTACAGTCCTACTCGTACCAAATACCAGACATACACTTGTTATGTCCAATCCATTTTGTCCAGTCTTGTTTGATCATATTTGCATATCAAATGCTATCCAAACGACGAATTTATTAATTATTAAAGTACCATGTGTGGAAAATGATTTATTGTCAAATAAAATAAAGGGAGTGCTAACGGCGGCAGCTACTACTACTACTAAAATATCAAAATCATGATTAAATCTGATTAAAACACATAAAATATCAAAATCAATCAAATAATACAATACATTTTATTATATATATATATATAACTAGTTGTATACCTGCGCAATGCAATATATATATATATATATATATATATATATA